CTCTCTCTGGTCTCTCTCTGGTCTCCCTCTGGACTCTCTCTTGTCTCTCTCTGGTCTCTCTGTGGTCTCTCCCTGGTCTCTCCCTGGTCTCTCTCTGGTCTCTCTCTGGTCTCTCTCTGGTCTCTCCCTGGTCTCTAAAACCCTCCTACAAAAGAATTGGGTAAATCTCTTTCCGGGTACACCCCCACCATGGGGAGTGAGCTTGCAGCATGTCAGTGCACGTGATCATGGACCTTTTGGAGCCACCAACCATTCACACACACACCAGACTCATTCTAAAGTGGGGGAAGTGTCTTGCCTAAGGACACAACCACAGTTTGGTAGTTTACAGCCGCAGCCGCCCCACTGTGGCACCTGCTGTTCCCAGAGGTCTCCCATCACAGCACTAACCAGGCCCTGTCTTGCACAACCCAGAGTCATTCTAAGTCCTATTGAAGACAGCTGTCGTGTTGATGACTCATGACCACATCTCCATGGAAACCAGCAGGAGCGACTCACCTGGTCCAACCATAAACAACACCTGCAGAAAAATAATAGTTCATACAAATACTGTATAGGGGTAAAACTGGACTCAGACTTAAACTTTAACAGCCAGGAAGTACGACCACATTAGTCCTGACTAGAACCAGGAAGTACGACCACATTAGTCCCGACTAGAACCAGGAAGTACGACCACATTAGTCCTGACTAGAACCAGGAAGTACGACCACATTAGTCCCGACTAGAACCAGGAAGTACGACCACATTAGTCCTGACTAGAACCAGGAAGTACGACCACATTAGTCCTGACTAGAACCAGGAAGTACGACCACATTAGTCCTGACTAGAACCAGGAAGTACCATCACATTAGTCCTGGTCTCGGGTCTCTGCACCTGTGGCTCAGAGAATAGACTTTAAAACAGCTCTGATTTATACAAGCCTCTCCCGGACCCTGAGGAGCACATGGACTGGCCTCCTGCTGGGACTCTGAGGAGCACAGGGACTGGCCTCCTGCTGGGACTCTGAGGAGCACAGGGACTGGCCTCCTGCTGGGACTCTGAGGAGCACAGGGACTGGCCTCCTGCTGGGACTCTGAGGAGCACAGGGACTGGCCTCCTGCTGGGACTCTGAGGAGCACAGGGACTGGCCTCCTGCTGGGACTCTGAGGAGCACAGGGACTGGCCTCCTGCTGGGACTCTCTGAGGAGCACAGGGACTGGCCTCCTGCTGGGACTCTGAGGAGCACAGGGACTGGCCTCCTGCTGGGACTCTGAGGAGCACAGGGACTGGCTTCTGTATGAAGTGTGTTTGTTAGGAGCTCCTCACGGCTCGATAAACACCGGGTCCTTGAAGTTTTGAGGTTGCGGTCGACTTTGCGGTCTCCTCCCGGTCCCCTCCTGGTCTCCTCCTGGTCTTTGTCAGCACCTCAGAATAATTACGAGTAAATAAAAGATGAATATTCAGCGGAGCAGACGGAGCCTCTCGACCTGCGGAGACTTAAAGCAGCTCATTAAGAGTTTGATTGGTCTGAGCTGGACCCGGACAGAAGAGGACACAAGGACAGGAGAGAGTGGATTTAGGACTCTCTCTGGTCTCTCTGGTCTCTCTGGTCTCTCTCTGGTCTCTCTCTGGTCTCTCTCTGGTCTCTCTCTGGTCTCTCTCTTGTCCCTCGGGTGTCTCTCTGGTCTCTCTCTGGTCTCTCTCTGGTCTCTCTCTGGTCTCTCTCTGGTCTCTCTCTGGTCTCTCTGCTCTCTCTCTTGTCCCTCGGGTCTCTCTCTGGTCTCTCTCTGGTCTCTCTAGTGTCCCTCTGGTGTCTCTCTGGTGTCTCTCTGGTCTCTCTCTGTAGTCTCTCTCTAGGCCACATGGTATTGGCCTGATCCAACTCTTCTGGTACACACCATCTGTATTTATAACTTGCTAATTATGACAAGACCATAAAACTAGAAGAAGAATAAACAGACTCCTGATGACCAGAGAGAGACCAGAGAGAGAACAGAGGGAGACCAGAGAGAGACCAGAGGGAGACCAGAGGGAGACCAGAGAGAGACCAGAGGGAGACCAGAGAGAGACCAGAGGGAGACCAGAGGGAGACCAGAGGGAGACCAGAGAGAGACCAGAGGGAGATGCCCAAAGACATCCTTATTCTCTCAGAACTGAAAACAAAAGCTGAAAACTTCTGTTGTCGAAAACTGAGATACAAACAACGATAAATCATAGACTCTAAGAAGTAACAGAACTGTCAAACACACATGTGTCCAATCAGAGACCAGAGAGAGACCAGAGAGAGACCAGAGAGAGGGACCAGAGAGAGACCAGAGAGAGACCAGAGAGAGGGACCAGAGAGAGACCAGAGAGAGACCAGAGAGAGACCAGAGAGAGACCAGAGAGAGACCAGAGAGAGGGACCAGAGAGAGACCAGAGAGAGACCAGAGAGAGACCAGAGAGAGACCAGAGAGAGACCAGAGAGAGACCAGAGAGACTGGCCTCGCCCCTCGTTCTACAGCCTCTGGAGCTCTCTCTCTGGTCTCTCTCTCTGGTCTCTCTCTGGTCTCTCTCTCTGGTCTCTCTCTGGTCTCTCTCTGGTCTCTCTCTGGTCTCTCTCTCTGGTCTCTCTCTGGTCTCTCTCTCTGGTCTCTCTCTGGTCTCTCTCTGGTCTCTCTCTGGTCTCTCTCTGGTCTCTCTCTGGTCTCTCTCTGGTCTCTCTCTGGTCTCTCTCTGGTCTCTCTCTGGTCTCTCTCCATCGCTGTGTGACTCCGAGTGGATCAATAAAGAACCACTCAAACTAATGGCGTCTCTTTAATCAGAAGCAGCTGAAAAACGACTTCTTCTGAGACCTGGACCATGTGAGCAGAAAACCATGACTCTCTATTATCCACAGACACCAGATGGATGCAAATGGATTGTGCTTTAGAATACAATAGTCCCTGGTTTATTAAAGAGAGAGAGACCAGAGAGAGACCAGAGAGAGGCCAGAGAGAGACCAGAGAGAGAGACCAGAGAGAGACCAAAGAGAGACCAAGAGAGAGACCAAAGAGAGACCAGAGAGAGACCAAAGAGAGACCAGAGAGAGACCAAAGAGAGACCAGAGAGAGACCAGAGAGACCAGAGAGAGACCAAAGAGTGACCAGAGAAGGACCAGAGACAGACCATAGTTGATCTGTGCTGACTTTTGACATTATAGTTACCATAGTTACCAGGAGAGATTTTTCAGCTGCAGCACAATGTGAGACTACAGACTCTTTGGAATCAGGATGAGAGAGGTTAAAGCCAAGGACAGGTCGGACCAGGACCAGGACTAACCCTGAGAGACCAGGGGTATACAGGCAACATACCAGAGAGACCAGAGAGAGACAAGAGAGACCAGAGAGAGACCAGGGAGAGACCAGAGAGAGACAAGAGAGAGAACCAGAGAGAGACCAGAGAGAGACAAGAGAGACCAGAGAGAGACCAGGGAGAGACCAAAGAGAGACCAGAGAGAGACCAGAGAGACCAGAGAGAGACCAAAGAGAGACCAGAGAGAGACCAAAGAGAGACCAGAGAGAGACCAGAGAGACCAGAGAGAGACAAGAGAGACCAGAGAGAGACCTGAGAGAGACCAGAGAGAGATCAGAGAGAGACCAGAGAGAGACCAGAGAGACCAGAGAGAGACCAGGGAGAGACCAGAGAGAGACAAGAGAGACCAGAGAGAGACCAGAGAGAGAAAAGAGAGACCAGAGAGAGACCCCCTTGACCAGAGAGTCCAAAGAGAGACCAGAGAGAGAGACCAGAGAGAGACCAGAGAGACCAGAGAGAGACCAGAGAGAGACCAGAGGAGACAGGAGACCAGAGAGAGAGAGCCTTGAGAGAGACCTCAGAGAGACCAGAGAGAGACCAGAGAGAGACAAGAGAGACCAGAGAGAGAGAGACCAGGGAGAGACCAGAGAGAGACAAGAGAGACCAGAGAGACCCAGAGAGACCAGGCCGGACCCTGGACCAAGAGCTGACTGATACGACACGCCCCTTCTTCCCCTTGCACATTTACTTAATGAATAGCTTGAATGTGTGTGTTAGTTTTTCAGTCCGGATCAGGGTTTAGCTGTGTGACTTGGTGGAGCGCCCAACCAATGTTACACCTTATATAGAGGATAGGGATTAGATACTTTTTGGTCCGGACAGCTGTTTTAGATTCTTTTTGTATTAGGGAAATAAACCTTTTTGAATTTAACTTTCTGAATCATGGTCATCTTTATAAGGGATTTTGAACACGTCATTTTTTAATATAATAGTCTGCAGCCTCAGTCCTGGGTCTACAGCCTCAGTCCTGGGTCTGCAGCCTCAGTCCTGGGTCTACAGCCTCAGTCCTGGGTCTGCAGCCTCAGTCCTGGGTCTACAGCCTCAGTCCTGGGTCTACAGCCTCAGTCCTGGGTCTACAGCCTCAAGCCTCAGTCCTGGGTCTACAGCCTCAGTCCTGGGTCTACAGACGCTACCTGCATCAGTCCAGTAGAGTTTGTTGGTGACCCAGTCGATGGCTAGACCTGCAGGACTCTCCAGACTCGTGTCCACCACCACCTGGAGACACAGACACCAAACTGAGATCACGTGGAACATCCTCTCTAAAAGCAACAGTAGAAGAAGGATTTAGAAATACAGTGGTCCCTGAGAGAGACCAGAGAGAGACCAGAGAGAGACCATAGAGAGACCAGAGAGAGACCAGAGAGAGACCAGAGAGAGAGACCAGAGAGAGACCAGAGAAAGGCTGGAGAGAGACCAGAGAGAGACCAGAGAGAGACCAGAGAGAGACCATAGAAAGACCAGCGAAAGGCCAGAGAGAGACCAGAGAGAGACCAGAGAGAGACCAGAGAGTGACCAGAGAGACCAGAGAGAGACCAGAGATAGCTCAGAGAGAGACCAGAGAGAAACCAGAGAGAGACCAGAGAGAGGCCAGAGAGAGACCATAGAGAGAGACCAGAGAGAGAGAAACACCAGAGATAGACCATAGAGAGACCATAGAGAGACCAGAGAGAGACCAGAGAATAATACAAAAAGAATAATTAAAAGTATTCCAATACAGGGACTACTTTTTCCAAAGTAACAGAATTCTTTACGAAACAGATTTTAGGTCATGTTGTCAGTTTTCTGGTTATATATGTTATATGAATCACACTGAAGACAGTAAAGCCACAGTAGGTGAGCTGTGACATCATCATTAACCCCTGTCACATACACATAAACTACACAGAGCTGCATAAACATGTCTCTGCTCCTGCACTGCCCTCCTCGTCCAGCAGGGGGCGCCACAGCCCACACACACACACACACTGCTCTTCCCGCTCACAGCTGTCACAATATTTACCTTTCCTTCAGGACTGAGCATGCTCCAAATAGAAGTTCCTTTTTGTTTAACTCAGAGTTTTGATGTTTGTCCAAAGGAAGAAAGTAAAATGTAGTAAATAAATAAGAACATGACGTATCCCTGTGAGTCACTATTTGACTCACAGGGACACGTTGAGCGCTGAGAGTGAGGGCAGTCCTGTCTATTTCACTTCTCTGGACTCTCTCTGGTCTCTCTCTGGGGTTCTCTCTCTGGTCTATCTCTCTCTGGTCTCTCTCTCTGGTCTCTCTCTCTGGTCTCTCTCTTGCCTCTCTCTCTCTCTCCTCTCTCTCTTCCCTCTCTCTCTCTCTTGCCTCTCTCTTCCCTCTCCCTCTCTCGCTCTACTTCGCCTCTCTCTCCTGCCTCTCTCTTCTCTCTCTCTCTCTCTCTCTCTCTCTCTCATCACCTTTAAAAACATACAAATTCTCCCTCCAGACCTTCCCTAATCGTACTTTCCCATTAGAACACATAACCCCTGTGCTGAAGTGCTGAAGCGGTGAAGGGGGGGTATGGAGACTTCTGCACGCACCTCCTGCTTGGTTCCGTCCCACATGGCTCTGTTGATAGAGTCTGTGGTGACGTCGGTCCAGTAAACGAAGCCGTCGTGGTCGTTCCAGTCCAGCGCCACGGCGTTGCGGACGTCGGCCAATGGGATGACGTCGTCGGACATGTCCTCGGTGTCGAAGCTGACGCGCCGGATGTCCGTCCTTCGGGCAAAAAGCAGGAACTGGTCAAGACCTGATTAAGGACCAAATGTCTTCTGTCAGTCTCCTGGGGTTACACAACAACAACAACAACAACACAACAACAACAACAACTACACAGGACTTCATCTGGGATCAGTGCAGTAAATATATGTTTGTACGCATCTACTCTACTCTACTCTACTCTACTCTACTATAGTCTACTGTACTCTACTCTACTCTACCCTACCCTACTCTACTCTACTCTACTCTACCCTACCCTACTCTACTCTACCCTACGCTACCCTACTCTACTTTACCCTACCCTACTCTACCCTACTCTACCCTACTCCACTCTACCCTACTCTACTCTACTCTACCCTACTCTACCCTACTCTACCCTACTCTATCCTACTCTATCCTACTCTACCCTACTCCACTCCACTCTACCCTACCCTACTCTACTCTACCCTACCCTACTCTACCCTACTCTACCCTACTCCACTCTACCCTACCCTACTCTACTCTACTCTACTCTACCCCACTCTACCCCCCCCTATTCTACTCTACTCTACCCTACCCCACTCTACCCTACCCTACTCTACTCTACCCTACGCTACCCTACTCTACCCTACTCTACTCTACCCTACCCTACTCTACCCTACTCCACTCTACCCTACCCTACTCTACTCTACTCTACCCTACTCTACCCTACTCTACCCTACTCCACTCTACCCTACCCTACTCTACTCTACCCTACCCTACCCTACTCTACCCTACCCTACTCTACTCTACTCTACCCTACCAGGTTCTATCTCTTGCTTTCACATCATGTATTTTGGGTCTGTCACATATTCTGATCTGCTTTTTCAGTCAGAACAGTTAAACAAAGAAGATCGTCCTCTCTCGGCCAATCAGCTCTCTGCCCTAAGCATCATAAAGTGACTCAGAGAGACTTTCCTGATGCACAGATAAGGATTGGTAATATTATGAAGACGGCCTGCTGGGACACAGATTACACCCAGCCAAGTCTGTCCAATAATTACTTGAATAATCAATGTCCGGATCCATATTTTTCATACTTGCCTCGAAGGGAAAGTCAATATTTCTCAACTATTGATCTATTTGCAGCGGTCAAAAAACTAATTGCTATTTTTTTGTCAGCTTCAAGTCTCCGCCCTGGTACACATGGTCCAGATATGATCGAAAGTGCCCTGGACTTTCTCTGGTCTCTCTTTGGCCTCTCTCTGGTCTCTCTCTTTGGCCTCTCTCTGGTCTCTTTTTTCCCATGCAGATTAACATGACAATTTGTGATTGAGAAAATAGCGACAGTAGCTCAGTTGGTAGAGCATTGGCCTTTGGGCCCAAAGGTTGTGGGTTCGAGCCCACCACGGGACCTTCTCCACAGACTCCCACTGATGCCTGCTGTTGTTGTGTCCTTGGGCAAGACACTTAACCCACTTAGCCTATAAGGATGCCTTGATGTGTATGTGTGTATATGTATGTACTATATGTGTATGCATCAACTGCATAAGGACCTTCTCTTAAAAATGTCAGTAGTGAGTGTGTGTGTTTGTATATGTTTGTGTGAATCAGGACTCACTGTTGGCACAGTTGTGTTGGTCGATCTTCTTGAAGCCCGTGGGACAGGCGCAGGTGAAGGTTGTATTCCCGGGTAAACACAAGTGACTGCAGCCGCCATTGTTGCTCCCACAGCGGTTCACACCTCCTACACACACACACACACACAGGTTTTAGGGTAGGACTGAGGCTGTAGACCCAGGACTGAGGAGTTGAGGTCAGAGACTTTGTGTTCACAGTAAAAATAATGTGTTGTGTTTGACTCGGCTCCAGGAAAAAGTTTAGTTTTTCGCGCTTCTGCGAAAGTGAAACAAACAACGGACGAGCCAAAGATGGTCAGAGCGAGGTCAGGAGGGACCAGTGAGAGACCAGAGAGAGACCAGAGAGAGACCAGAGAGAGACCAGAGAGAGACCAGTGAGAGACCAGAGAGAGACCAGAGAGAGATCAGAGAGAGAGAGACCAGAGAGAGACCAGAGAGAGACCAGAGAGAGACCAGTGAGAGACCAGAGAGAGACCAGAGAGTGACCAGACAGAGAGAGAGCAGAGAAAGATTAGAGAGACCAAAGAGAGACCAGGGAAGAATCAAGCGAGAGACCAGAGAGACGGGTCAGAGGCACCAGAGAGGGAGTGACTAGAAAGAGACAGCAGAGAGACACTCGAGAGAGAGACCAGAAAAAGACTAGAAAGAGAGATCAGAGAGAGACACCACAGACAGAGAGACTAAGGAGAAACCAGAGAGAAACCAAAGACAGACCAGAGAGAGAGAGAGACCAGAGAGAGAGACCAACAGGAGAGAGAAGCCCTATGCCCTGACCTGCCGGCTGCCTCTGGGGGTGCAGGGTGTGGATGTCCATGGGGAAGTGCAGCTTGTTGCGGATCACTTCCTGGTTCTTCCCGGTGAACTTGTTGGCGCTGTTGATGCTCTTGGTGTGCCAGTCAGTCCAGTACAGACTGTCCTCGAACACCGTGATGGCGAACGGGTGAGGAAGACCTGGGGAGAGGAAGAAGCTACATCAGACCTAAACTCAGAGAGAGAACGCAGAGAGAGGCCAGAGAGTGACCAGAGAGAGACCAGAGAGAGACCAGAGAGAGAGACCAGAGAGAGACCAGAGAGTGACCAGAGAGAGACCAGAGAGAGACCAGAGAGAGAGACCAGAGAGAGACCAGAGAGAGAGACCAGAGAGGGACCAGAGAGAGACCAGAGAGAGAGACCAGAGAGAGACCAGAGAGAGACCAGAGAGTGACCAGAGAGAGACCAGAGAGAGACCAGAGAGAGACCAGAGAGAGAGACCAGAGAGAGACCAGAGAGTGACCAGACAGAGACCAGAGAGAGACCAGAGAGAGACCAGAGAGAGACCAGAGAGAGACCAGAGAGAGACCAGAGAGAGACCAGAAAGAGACCAGAGAGAGACCAGAGAGAGACCAGAGAGAGACCAGAGAGAGACCAGAGAGAGATCAGAGAGAGATCAGAGAGAGACCAGAGAGAGACCAGAGAGAGACCAGAGAGAGACCAGAGAAATCAGATAGAGACCAAAGAAAAAGAGAGAGAGACTGGTCTTGATGAAAAATGATTTTGAAACTGGTTAAAAACTTCCCATAATCTGTGTCCTTCAAACTGCTGAATACGAGACAGAGAGGAGCTAATTCAAACATGATTAAGGAGGATCTTGACTTTGTCTCTGAGTCCACACGGATCCAGGATGTTTCCATAGCAGCAGGTTAAAGCCGGCGTCTGTAAAGTGTGTGCGCAGGGGACCAGGTGGTAATTGGCCCAGTGTCTGTTTGTTCTGACCACACAATGGACAAACGGCAAGAGAAGGACCAGAGAGAGACCAGAGAGAGCCCAGAGCGAGACAGAGAGAGACCAGAGAGAGACCTGAGAGAGCCCAGAGCGAGACAGAGAGAGACCAGAGAGAGACCTGAGAGAGCCCAGAGCGAGACAGAGAGAGACCAGAGAGAGGCCACAGAGAGACCAGAGAGAGACCAGAGAGAGGCCAGAGAGAGACCAGAGAGAGACCAGAGAGAGACCAGAGAGACGCCAGAGAGCGACCAGAGAGAGACCAGAGAGAGACCAGAGAGAGACCAGAAAGAGGCCAGAGAGAGGCCGGAGAGAGACCAGAGAGAGACCAGAGAGAGACCGGAGAGACCAGAGAGAGAGCAGAGAGAGAGCAGAGAGAGAGAAGAGAGAGATCAGAGAGAGACCAGAGAGAGACCAGAGAGAGACCAGAGAGAGACCAGAGAGAGACCAGAGAGAGACGCTGGGATAAAGGGTCTTTCTACTCCAGGCATGTGCGAACTCAGGCCCGCGGGCCAAATGCGGCCGTCCCGCCAACACACAACATGATATACACCAGGTCACAGTGTCATACAGCCAACTTCAGCTCTTTTATTATATGTTATGTCTGTTCTACTCCCTCAGGTCTGGTTTGTGGCAGTAGGGAGTTTTTAAACACAACAGGGTTCAAATATACAGAAGTAGCAGAGAGAGTGGTCTCTCTCTCTCTCTCCTCTCTCTGCTCTCTGCGCTCTCTCTGCTCTCTCTCTGGTCCCTCTCTCTCTCTGCTCTCTCTCTTCTCTCTGCTCTCTCTCTCTGTCTCTCTGGTCTCTCTCTCCTCTCTGCTCTCTGCGCTCTCTCTGCTCTCTCTCTCCCTCTATCTCTCCTCTCTGCTCTCTCTCTCTCTGTTCTCTCTCTGGTCTCTCTCTCTCTCTGCTCCCTCTCTGCTCTCTCTCTCTCTCTGCTCCCTCTCTGCTCTCTCTCTCTCTCTGCTCTCTCTCCCTCACTGGTCTCTCTCGCTGGTACCTTGGCTGATGACGGCCTTGCGGTTCTGCCCGTCCAGGTCAGAGCGCTCGATCACATGGTGCTTGGCGTCCACCCAGTAGATCCGGTGAGAGGCGTAGTCGATGGTCAGACCGTTGGGCCAGAACAGGTGCGTGTCGGCGATCACGCGGCGAGACGAACCGTCCATGTTGGAAAACTCGATCCGAGGTGTGTTGCCCCAATCCGTCCAATAGATCTTACTGAGAGAGAGACCAGAGAGAGAGAGGTGGTCATGAGAGAGTAGGGAGAGAGACAAAGAGAGAGAGAGAAGGTCATGAGAGAGAGTGGGAAGACACCAGAGATACCAGAGTGAGAGACCAGAGAGGAGAGAGAAGGTCATGAGAGAGTAGGGAGAGAGACCAGACAGACCAGAGAGAGAGACCTGAGACCAGAGTCAGACCAATAGATCTTACTGAGAGAGACCAGAGATACCAGAGAGAGAGACCAGAGAGGAGAGAGATGGTCATGAGAGACTAGAGAGAGACCAGAGACAGGTGCAAATAAGAGAGGGACGAGAGACAGACAAGAGATACCAAGGATAACTCCCAAAGAGAGAAACCAGAAAGAGAGACCAGAGAGAGAGACCAGAAAGAGAGACCAGAGAGACACATACCCTTCTATGGGGTGCAGGGCGATGGCGCGGGGTTTCTCCATGTTTTGCCAGAGCAGGACCTTGCGGTGCGTCCCGTCCAGGTTGGACACTTCGATGCGGGACGTGCCTGAGTCGGTCCAGTACAGTTTGTCCTGGATCCAGTCTATGGCGAGTCCACCTGAGCCAGAGAGGATCATGGGAACAGGAGCTCTCTCTCTCTCCCCCATCCTCTCCCCACTCTCCCCCTCTCCTCATCCAGACTCTCTCCACTCTCCCCCATCCTCACCTGGACTCTCCAGGCCTGTAGACACCACCTCCTCCACGTTGGACCCGTTGAGGTTGGCCTTCATGATCCGGTCCAGAGTGACGTCGGACCAGAAGACCAGCTCGTGGCGGTGGTGGAAGTCCAGAGCGATGGCGTTCTCCAGGTTGTTGAGCAGCAGCGTGTACTCGGAGCGATGGGGGAGGACCTGCCGGATGTCGATGCGGTTTGCAAACAGCAGCACGGGCTCCGGGCCTGGGGGGACATGGGGGGGTAAGAGGAAGGGGGGGGGGTGATATGAGGGGGGTAAGAGGAGGGGTACCATCTCTAGAGCGCTAGAGACTCGACTCTGGTCTACTCTACTGTGGTCTACTCTGGTCTACACTGGTCTACTCTGGTCTACTCTGGTCTACACTGGTCTACACTGGTCTACTCTGGTCTCCTCTACTCTGGTCTGCTCTGGTCTACTCTGGTCTACTCTGGTCTACTCTGGTCTACTCTGGCCTACTCTGGCCTACTCTGGCCTACTCTGGACTACTCTGGACTACTCTGGCCTACTCTGGCCTACTCTGGTCTACTCTGGTCTACTCTGGTCTACTCTGGTCTACTCTGGTCTACTCTGGTCTACTCTGGTCTACTCTGTCAATAGGAGCCAGAGAGAGTTGGAGCCAAACTTTACCATGAGCGCTTCCCTATGCAGCTACATTGAGCTAGCGTGTTAGCATTGAGCTAGCATGTTAGCATTGAGCTAGCGTGTTAGCATTGAGCTAGCATGTTAGCATTGAGCTAGCGTGTTCGCATGGTGTGTGTCGGCCTCACCCAGGGCTTTGCAGGAGCGTTTGTCCGGTCGCAGCTCGTAGCCTTGAACACACCAGCAGAGAAACCCCCCCTCAGAGTTGGTACAGCCCTGACTGCAGTACCCCTCCTCTGCACACTCATCCACATCTGAAACCATAGAGACCAGGAGAGAGACCATGAGAGAGACCAGGGCAGAGACCAGGGGAGAGACCAGGGGAGAAAGCATGAGAGAGACCAGAGAGAAACCAGGGGAGAGACCAGGGGAGAGACCAGGGGCGAGACCAACCGAGGGAGCATGAGAGAGACCAGAAGAGAGGACCAGGAGAGAGAGGACTAGGAGAGAGGACTAGGAGAGGAAGACACCTCCAGGCTCGGACCAAAGAGACACCAGAGAGAGGTTTCTTTGGCTCTGGTCTCTCTCTCTCTGGTCTGAGAG